TTTTATTTAGGGTCAGAATTCCATTTAAACCCACTAATGAGGAAAAAGAATCTGTATTTTTTCCATAATCACCTGACTTATTTGTTGAAACGAGGGCATGACCTGTTTAAGAATCTCCACATATCATTCACTTACAATGCTTAGGGTGGTCCCGCATCATGGCCAGATCGTTCTAAGTGTTGGCTTTGGGGCACCGGTCTACAATGCCTGGTGAAGAAAAGAGCACAGCATTTAATGCATACTTCCAGTTTTACCTCTCCTCCTATCTTCCTGGAGCTTCTGTAACAAATACCCCCAGACATGGCAACTTACAACAACAAAAATAGATTCTCTCGCAGTTCCGGAGGGCAGAAGTTGAAATGACGGCAGTGACAGCTCTACTGTCTCTCTGAAGCCTTCACAGTAGAACCCTTTCTTGCTTTTTCCAGGTTTTGCCCTGAGGGTTCTTCTCTCCAATCTCCGCCTTCATTTTTGTATGGCCTTCCCTTTTGTGTGCCTGTCCTCTCTTGTATCTCATATAATTGTCATTGAAGTTAGGGCCCACCTATATCATCCAAGATGATCTAATCTCAAAATCCTTAATTAAATTACATTTGCAAAGAGTCCTTCCCCAAATAATGTCATATTCACAGGGCTAAGGGATTAGGGAATGGATTATTTTATGGGGAGCTGCCATTCAACCCACTGCACTCATACTGGTCACGCATATTGAGAATCAGATGTCTTGTGATGAGTAGATATTATGTTAACTGACATTAATTTCCCTTTACATATTTTCTGAGTTGATGGTAACCTCCTTGTGAATAATTAACCAGAATTACAAAGTGCTATGTAAACTCTCTACAACATGAGATACAGAAAATTATTTTCATGCCTATTGGCATTATAAAGCTCTTAGTGCCTAATACCAGCATGCCTTTTGTTAAAAGTAAGAGTGACTATAACTGAAGAATAATTAATTCTAACTTGTAGTTTCCGTCTGTTGTATTTTATATTACTTGCTTCAATCATTTTTTAAGATTCTGGAGGTTTACTTATATGCCGTCCATCTCCCTAATCTTAAAAATAGGTTTCGTATAATGAGAAACATTGTAAAATAGAAACCACATATTCTTGGTTTGCATAGAGACAAAAGAAATCTGACTTTCTCTAATGGCAAGACAATTTATTTTTTATGTATATATGTGTGTGTGTGTTTGAGATAGTCTTGCTCTGTCACCCAGGCTGGAGTGCAGTGGTGCAATCTCGGCTCACTGCAACCTCCGCTTCCTGGGTTCAAGCAATTCTCCTGCCTCAGCCTCTTGAGTAGCTGGGATTACAGGCACGTGCCACCACGCCCAGCTAATTTTTTTTTGTATTTTTAGCAGAGAAGGGGTTTCACCATGTTGACCTGGATGGTCTCCATCTCCTGACCTTGTGATCTGCCTGCCTCGGCCTCCCAAAGTGCTGGGATTACAGTGAGAGCCACTGCACCCGGCCTTTGTTTGTATTTTTATAAATAAATGTGTTGTTTCATATATTTAAAATATATATTTACATATTTTTGTATATAAATAAATGTCATATAAATGCTATATACTATGTTTTGAATACATTTCTGTTATTTAGAAATAACATTTACTTATAATATTCATTTATTTGTTTTTTATTTGTCTCTCCTTCAAGTTTCTTAGTGATGTTTTAAATGAGCACATCCAGCCTGGCCAACATGGTGAAACCCCATCTCTACTAAAAATACAAAAATTAGCCAAGTGTGGTGGCAGGCATCTTTAATCCCAGCTACTCAGGAGGGTGAGGGTCACTTGAACCTGGGAGGTGGAGGTTACTGTGAGCCAAGATCGGGCCACTGCACTCCAGCCTGGGCAGCAGAGCGAGACTCTGTCTCAAACAAACAAACAACAAACCCCCAAAACACGAAAATGAGCACAGACATCTTACAAAGTATCTCTTTGAAGGATACTGCCAACTTTTTATCCCACAGAAAGTCATTGTAGTTAGTAAGTTTATCGTAAATCAGTCCATGAATATATGAAGTATCTGACATGTCAAACAAGAACCAAATGGATCGTTATCACAGAACATAGTTCTGGCTTAGTGCTGTAATCTGTGGAGCAGCAATTTTTTTGTTCACGGAAATCTTTTAAAATGCTTTCTAAAATCTAATGCCCTTTACTCATAGTCTGTGTCATGGTTTCTTGGTCTTTGCAGAAACGAGGCACCGGAGAGGAAATGCCTTATCCATTCTGTAATCACTGTCCTTGCCATCATCTGTTTTTAATCTTTTCCACATCAGGGTCACATAAGGAAAGGGAAAGTTTCCATCTCTTCCTAATTCTATCGTGAAGTGATCCGTCTAAAAATAGCCTCACTCTTACCGCACATATTTCCCTGTTCCTCTTTCCCCGGCATCCACACATCGTTGGTCATACCCGTGAGTCATGTTTGTAAACACCAGAAAGCTCTTTCTTTTCCTCGCCCTCACGCAGTTGCTCCACACTGTGAACTTTTGCTTTTATTCTGATGTTGAATAATCATGAGTGAACAATTGTGAGCGGTGCTAGACAAGAAATAACAAGCTGATTAATTCAGCTGAATAGAAGAAAAAAAGAAGAGATTGGTGATAAAAGCTTTCTCAAGTTTCAAACAAAAAATTATTTATATCCATATGGGATTTTCAGTGAAATGTAATTGTATTTAGAATAATAGTTTAGGAAGCAAATGCTCTCATATACATTCCATCATTTGTTCTCCTAGCTTTTTATTCCTAATGGTATTGAGAGAGAATTGATTACCATAAAATGCATGACATTTGGAAGGAAAAATGGCAGTGAAAGTTCAAGGGAAAGTATATTTTTCTCTGAATGGAAGGCCCTATGTTAAAGTACTTGTTTTTCTTCTAATGTAAACTACCGAGGTCTTTGTACATTTTATCATGTAATCCTCTCAGCTTTCCTATGAGAAAGGCGATAGTATTAGCTTTATTTTACGGAGATAGAAAATGACTTGCTGATAAATAAGGAACAGGTGAAATAGAGATGAGATGGGATTGGGAGGCTGCTGTGTTAGGGATAATGAATAATCTGGTCTGTGTGTGTGTTTGTTCCTCAGTATCTCTGCATTGCCTGTGGGGGACTATCACTGTACGCGGCAGCTACCAAAGATAACTTGTTTCTTGGTGAGCTGTGATGTTTCATTAGTTTGTCTCAGGTCATCCGGCTAGCAGGGTTTAGGATGCCTGTCTTGGAGCTGAGCCTTTCACACTGCACAACCCAGGGCCACAATCAACAGCACCTTCCTGCTGTTATCATACTTTACTATAATATCTATTTATCTTTCCTGTTGACTTATAAATTCCAAGCCTTCAAGGACAGCCCGTCTCGAATGCTTAGAACATAGCAGGTGCTCACTAATAACTTTTGGATGAATTTACAGATACTCTGAGGAAATAGTCCAGGTGTACAGCAGAGTCTCAACTTGGATTTTTTTTTCCTGGCATTTATCACAGTTTGAAACACAAAGCGTTATTTGATTGCTGTCTCTCACCCAAAAGGCCATAGATCTAACAACAAGGACCATGAATGTTGTACTCACTATTAGGTCCCCTTTTCTAACATGGAACCCAGATCGGCTACTATTGATTGTTGTTGAATGAATCAGTGTGATGACAAGAGTGGTTAAAAACAAGTTAAGATTCTAGTGACAGTGTCCCCAAAACTTCGTCTCTCTAGGAATTTTCCTCTCTAATGTTCCTATCTCCTTCCCTTTCTTTTTCCTCTTCTGTTTTCCTTACTTTTCTTTTTTTTTTTTTCATCTCTTTTCTTCTCTTGACTGGCATTAATTAATTAAACATTTGCATAGCACTTAGTATATGGTAAGCCCTGTTTTAAGCACTGTAAAGTATTATTTAATTCTAATAGCAATCCTATGAGATAGGTATGATTTTTATCATCCACATTTTATATCTGAGTGTGGAGACACTGAGTTAAGAAACATGCCCGAGGCCAGGGAGCTTGCATTTGGACTCGGGCATCAGATCCCAGAGTCTGTGCTTTTACCACGACAATATTCTGCTGCTGCTTATTTCCACTCTCCCTGAAGACGCACATAAATGGAAATGAGGTCTCGTCACTGCATCTCTCCATATTGATTTCTGGTCTCCAGTTTAAATTTAATTTTGGAGGCGCTTACCCACTGAGTTAGCCTGCTTTGGTGCAGAGACAGACCAACCTCAAATCTCAGTGGCTGACCACAAGCATGTATTTCTGGGCCAGTTACATGCCAGCAGTCGTAAATCACCTGTGGAGACTCCGTTCTGTGTGTCTTCTCAATCTGCTGGGACTGTCTAATCCTTTTACCAGGAAGGGAGGTAATATGCGGAAACCATCATACAATTGGCCACAACCGTTAAACTCTTGGTACGTCCGTACAGTCCTCTCTTGCCATTACATGTAATAGCAACATTCAGGCCACAGGTTCACCTTCTTTTCATAAAAAGAAGGCAAAAAGCTGATTCAGAGTAATTCAAATATTTTTGTTTACGTAAAATGAATGAAGTTTTGACGGGCACTTTTTAACACTTTGGTGGAGATGATACAGGTAAAAATCCAGTAAGAGGATTATTTATTTATTCTGCATCGACAGGTTCCTTTTCTACTCCTGAGGGATCAAAAAACATTCACATGGTTATAAATTCTCTGAGCCCATAATGTTTTTTTTTTTTCTCTAGCAGCTTCTTCAACATTAATTTTGCTCAGTTCAGTTCATCAAAAATTTTTCAAATGCCTGCTGTGGAGCTAGCCTTGTGCCAAGATTTAACGTAGCAATAGTGACTTTGTTTTTTATTTCTTTGAGATTGATGAGCTTCTTGAGAACAGGGTCTTGATTCATCCTAACAAGGAGTACATTGCTGGCGCAGAGTAGACAGCTAGTTAGTACTGAATAACGGTCAGAGCAACTGAATCAATGAAAACTGAAAATTCCCAAATGCCTCTTTCCTATAGGAACTTCTACTTGCAGAAAAGTGGGCTAAAATGAACAAGCTCCCGTTTCCAAAGATCGATCCTTACGTGTTTGATCGGGAAGGGCTGAAGGAGTGCTATGTCTTTAAACCAAAGAATCCTGACATGGAGAAAGATTGTCCAACTATCATCCACTTTGTGCTGGCCAACATCAACTTCAGAAAGTACAAGTCTCCAGGTATGTGGGGAGTAGGTTGTATTCCATAAAATAGAAATTAAGTAGGGTAGCAAAACTGATACTCAACTGTTTCACTCTGGCACTGCCGTACCGGCTAGTACACTATTGAATGCTTGCCTTACCTTGATAAGTAGATACTATCTGAGACCTCAAATACTTCCCCTTTCTTACCCCAAGATCCCCTGAGTTGCTCACAGTCCAGAAACTGAAAAGTCAACGACTAGTTTAACCAAAATCTCTGGGATTTTATTTCAATGCTTTGAGTTATGTTTGTTCTGATGGATTTTTAATCAAATATTTTTGACTATCACCCTTATAAGAAAGCTCTTATTTCAGAAAAAGTTTGTGAATTTCTGGGAATTTTAGTTGACCACAAGATTAACATAATCTAGTAGTGCACCATGGCTAGCAATTTCAGTGTGTGGTGTTGTATTTCATAGAAAACAAGAATCAAGTTTGAGATGTAGCCTTTGTTTGTTTGTTTTGTTCACTATATCTAGATGATTCTCTTGACTCTTATGTATCCTGGAAAATGTTGATTAAACAAAGGAGATCTGAAGATTGACATGCAGGATGCTTAAAGCTCTAAAAACCATATTTTAGGACCAGAAAATGTATTTTCCATTTTGTGAATGGAAAGACACAAAAAAATAGGGAGGATGAGTAATGGGAATATGCTGAAGAAAATGGCATTTTTCTAGATTTCTCAGAAAGAATCGATAGGCATGAAGATTATTGTAAAGCATATAGTTCAGCACAGGAGAAGGTGGAAATCGCTGACATTTTTAGTTATCAGACAGTGGAATACTCGAAACCCAGTGAATTTCCTGTCGCTGTCCGTTCTCAAGGAGAGGCTCACTGAGCAGTTGGCTCAGTGAGGGGGATTTCCACGGCATGAAGACAGTCACATAATGTTTTGGGTTTGGGCTCTCCCAGAAACTGATTCTGAGAAAAGGACTCCTGTGCAAACAGTTTATTTGGAAAAGCTGGGGAACACACTGGTTTATCAGTAAGGAAATGGGGAAGTGGTCAAGGGAAGGAAGGCAGCACAACCGTGTTAGCAAGCCAGCTACCACAACGGGAACTTGACCCGCTGGGAAAGATTAAGAAACGGAATAGACCCGTGTCCCGCAGTCATGCTTCCCACACACACCCCAACAGGCAGGGGAATGGAGCATTCAGATGCTAACTCCCTGGAGTCTTTGGCTGACCACTGCCTGGGATACAATGTTGTCAGAATTTCCAGCCTGCTGCCAGTGGGCCAAGCAGACTCCTAGAGTTGCAGGGCAGAAGAGGAAGCCCTCGGGCACAGAGATGGCAGATATGGCAGCTGGATGTCACCCGGTCAGAACACACAGAAATGAGAAGTCCAGAGATACTAGAGTACCTGGTTCTGCGGGACTCCCACTGCTGTCTTTACGTCTGCATGTTTCATTCCTCGGGTTTTAGAGATAGTTTGTAGTGTTCAAAATAACACTCTTTGTGACTCTTCTGGTATTTAGGTGTTCCAAGGGAAACTGAGGAAGAGAAAGAAATTGCTGACTTTGATATTTTTGATGACCCAGAATCACCATTTTCAACCTTCAATTTTCAATATCCAAATCAAGCATTCAGAAGACTACATGATCTCATGCATTTCAATACTCTAAACAACATTGATGTAAGTATCTCCTATGGCCACTATTTCAAATGACTTCCATACCGCATAAATGCACCAATGCCTCTTTTTAATTACACATTTTTAAAAGTGTTATGAATGACACCACCCAAAACGTGTCACTTTACTTTTCATGAATTATTTGGCTAATCTCCAGAAGAACCCTACAAATCTGACAAATAAGGAAGCTTATTCTATGCTTATTATTTTATCAAATGATTAGTTAATAATCTGTTTCTTTCCCAAAGTATCTATTTATGATAAAATAAGGAAGAAAAGTGACAAAAAGGAAATATGAGTATGAAAACGAATGTAATCAGAAGTGTAGTTAACCTGCAAAAATATGACATGAATTTTAACAAATACATTTATGATTTTACATGTTTTCTGTTTGTGAATTTGGGCAGTTATCACAAAAGGGAACAGCCTTCCCTATTTTTAGCCCTTGGGATGTCAAGTATACTTTGCTTTAGAAAAAGTCACGGTCTTCAGTATCAATCTTTACTATCACTAGTCTATCTTCTGCTAAGATTCTGTGCCTAGGTGAAATCCTTTCATTTTTAACATACCATTTAGGAACACTGTTCTGTAACTGAAATCATTGGCTTGTGGTTCCAAATCACAGTGTCTGACAAATGATTATCGTTGTGAAAGCTTAAGTTCATTAGCCTAATTGGATTTTGAGCATTAGAAAAACAGAAAACAAAAAAATTAAATGAAGAAGGAAAGGCATCATGCCTGATTTACCAGTCTTTTTGGTGACTGTGTAAACGGCACAAAGCAACTCAGAATATGTGAATGAGTGTTCTGCTTATATGGGCTTTAGTTAGATTTTGTGAGCTAACTTAATATAACTAAGAAAACATGACACTGTCCAAGGACAGACAGTAGCACTAAATAAAACAATATTTGAATAAATTTGTAACTATCTGTAAGGAAAAAGCAATCGGATGATTATTCACAAGGAAAAATATTAAATTGACATCTTTCACATTATCAACAAAGCCAATTCCAGATAGACGGTAGATTGGAGTATAAAAGTAAACAAAGTTTCTAGAATACAACACGGGGGAATATCTCTATAACTTTGACCCAGGGAAATATTTTTTAAACTTGACGAAAAAGCATTAGCCATGAAGGACAGTCCTTTCTGTATCTTCAAGTCCTTCAGTTCTGAGAATTAAGCAGTTTTTAATTGCTTCTACTACTGTTTCTGTCACCACATGTATAGACAAGGTCATGGGCTTTATATCATCTTTAAATCCCATATGGGGGCCACTCACGTGACTTTGAATAAGCTCCTTAAACTTTTTGAGCCTCAGGTGTGGTGGGACCTATAATAATTGTAATAGTGAATGTTTAATTGGGTGATGCATGATCAGAGAAGCTGTTCAGTAAATGGGAACCTTACCTATACACGTCCGTATCTTGTACCCCTGAAGTTTTATGGGGATTATACCCAAAGACCTTTGCAAATGCCCCATATTAACAACATAGACAAAATTGTACAGGTAATGCCAGCTCAGACAGTAAGTAAATATTTTTGAGTGAACAAATGAACGTAGGCTTCTCCTGAATTACATGAACATTGACACTCAAGTTCACGTAATTCCTCTTTGTGTGTGTGTGTGCATATTTCATCAACAGATAAAAAATTCAGTTTTCACTGAATACCAAATAGCTGACATTTTACCTCTTCCTTAGTGACTCCCTCCTTCTCCACTTTAAGAAAACTCCTTTTTATCAGAATCAAAACTTGTTTATAAATGATGGTACTGAAAGAGCGGCAAAACTCTGCTGAGGTTAGGATGCTGGAGAGTTCATTAGGCTCCATGATTAACGAACTGACTCCCACACCATTTGAATGGAGTAGGATACTGATTCGCACTTCAGCAACCCAGTGTATGTTTATTGCCATAGACCATCAGCGTTCTTCGTAAATAGTGAATGGATATTGTGACTATAAACTCTTACAATGCAAAGTCACTTCTCTGCCAATTTCACAGACAACAGTTTTCGACTTTGCAACTGTGACCACTGTGGCTTAAGGCAACGTTTCCTCTTCAGTTCACTCTGACCTAAATTTTTGCTTTGACGAGGCCATGCTGTATCAGCCGGCTGCAGCCTCCTGTTGCCTCATTTTATCAAGAGATCCTAGCTGGCCTGCTTCGCCAAAGCTGCACTTCAGTTTATCTTTAGCGGGTTTCTGCTCTGTTTCTGCTCACGTCATGACAGCGGCCCGGGGTTCTCATAGCATCAGGTTTCTGCTCTTGCTTGATCTTCCCAAATTCCTTTTCACTGAACCTTGTCTCGATGCTTTTACAATTACAGGAGCATTTCATTTTTTTTTTTTCCCCTTCAGAAACTTAACGTATAGTGACTTACCCTGGTAGACACGTGATTGGGGGGTTGGGGGGGGTGTGTTGCAGAGGCGTTGGAGTCTGACCAAATTGGGTATTCGGTTGACTTTGGACATGCTGGTTAACCTTTCTAAATGTTGCTTTCCTGTTTTGTAAAGGGAAGTGATGGTACATATCATGTAGGATCAGGATGGGGATTAAGTAAAGTAATGTAACTGAAGGGCTTGGTGTGTAGTAGACACTCAGTAGACTGAAGCAGCGAATATAATCATGACAATAATTGTTACTAGCGTTCCTAGTTTTTGGCTTTCAATTATAAACTATAAACCCCTTAAAAACAGTGACTTGCTTTATTTATGTTGTATGCTTTAGAGATACGGATCACAATGCCTGACACCTGAGGTAAATCTGCAGTACAGTTTTCATGATGGATGTTTAAATGTCATTGACTTACTGTGGGTAGCAGGTGTCGGGACGCAAGGTGCTGCTGGCTGGGTGGAGGCGGAGTTCCCAGTCGCGGGGAATTTGTATGCAGTACATGCCTGCCCACGCAGTTTGGCTACATACTCTGCTCTTAAACCACCACTTTGATCTGGAAGAAATACGTCTTCTGAGATTTCTTTTCTAGGACATGTTAATTTGCTAGCACAGGAAAATATATTGTTTCCCAGTCTCACTTACTCAAATTATTAACTTAATAGGCATATTCTTTGAACCAGTTATGTGTCAGTTTATTCAGCATATGCCAATGATGCAAAGTAATGAGATTTTCTTTTTCTTAATTATTCAAAGTGCTAAACATTAGATGTTAATTAAAATGAGGTTACGTCCACATCCAGAAGTATTGGTACTTATTTCTTAATTTACTAATATTTCTTCACCTTGATAAGGGTGTGTAGGTACAAGTCAACGTTCTTATCTTTTAGAAATAATTTAGAAGCTGATTATTATGTATTATTCCCTAATATATTAGGCCATAACTTATCTACCTTTAATGCTGCCTGTAATCTCTGTCTCATTTATTTATTAATTCAACACATATTTATTATTTAGTGTGCCAGAAACTGTGTTAGGAACTAAGGGTACCACACAGAAATAACAATGAAAAGTTTTGAGTGCTTCATATAAGCCAAATATTTCCCCAAATGTTTAACACTCAAGACTAGCCTATGAGGTGGGGGTTTTAAATTTTTTAATTTATTTATATATGAGGAAACTAAGTCATGGATTATTTAGGCAGATTGCTGGAAGTCACAGTGACATGGAGATCTGAGATGAGGCTGATGTCTTTTCTCCTTCATTCCTTACTTTTCAACCATCTGTCTCAAGCAGCCTTATTTCTTAGTTTTTTCCCAGACACGCCTTCATTCTAGCCAGGCCAACCGATTCCCAGACGTCTCTGACGCACGCCACAACCTTCCATCTGCAGCCTATTCATATGGCTATTCTTCTACGGAGAATGCCCCGTCTTCTGCTCCACTTATAAAACCCTGCCTGTCCTTTAACTCATCTGGTCTCATTGTCCCTATGCTGTCCCGTGTCAGTCAACCTCTAATGAGCACCTTCTGTGTATTTATGAATTTTGAAAATATTTATTATGTACTTTCCATGTTCTAAGTGCTGCGATTAAAAAAAAAAAAATGACAAGCCTGATAAACTCTCTGCCTTCCTTACATTTCAGTTCTTATTAAAAAGGCAGGCATTATCCAGCAAATTCACAGTAATTTACACCTAAATATCTTCTTGTGTTCTCCTATATTCGTAATTTTTACTTCTCTAAAAAAATATACTGTAACTTTCTCTCTTGGGCTTTTTATTTTCTACTGTGATAACTCAATATTTGTTTGTAAATTGCTTCTAATATGACCTATACAAATTTGTTTCTTATGTGGGGGTAAGGTCACATTTTATGTGCTCGTTTTTCTTATTTTCTGCTTTAAGTCATTACCAAAGACTTAAGGGATCTGGTTCAGCAATAGGGGGCTGTTGAGTGGCAGAAGTAAAAGAAGACATGGGGTAGGCGGTGGGATGGAGAAAGCTGAGGTGTGCGGGCTTTTGCTGGGGTAACACTGAAGGGAAGGCCTTGGAATCTCATTGAATTTCAGGGAAGAATGAAAGAGATACACACCATTTAAGACGACTTCTTGTATAATTATAAAGGTTTAAATTTAGCATAATGCCTTTTGGCATACATGTATTTGTATCATATAGGATACTAAAAGGTTTGAATTTAATAACTGATCTAGTACTAGGCTTGGTTTTTTCTATCACAGAACTGCAACTCCCAAGAACAGGGTATTTTCTGCAGTAATCAGGAAAACCTGGCTAACGGTTTCATGGTGTTAATGTGCCCCCTAGTGGTTGAACGTGCACATTCTAATTTGGGGTTTTCAGCGCTGCGCGTGTTGGTTTCCTTTCTCAGAATGGCTTGCTCACTAGGAACTCCAGCTGAGGTCCAGTTACACTAAATCCACTAGTTCCTGATGTTGATATTGCTGATTTCTTTTATGTTCATGAATTCATTATGAAGGAATTGATAGCAGCAGTCACTGTCAGTTTAATTTTCTCAATGGTCCTTTTTATTTTAATGCTTTTTGGGTGTTCAGAAAGCACACAGTTGTTTTTTGATTTATTTGGACACTTTTATGCAGTGAGGGTTGATGTTTCTTGGATTGTTGTGAGAAGGAAAAACCAACTGATAAATTTGCTGATAGGCATCTCTAGAAAGGCAGGGGGAGTTTAAAAAAGCAGTTGTAGTAGGACACTTTGAATAGCAGAATTGATGTGCTGACTTACACAATGTCATAAGCTAATTCTTGGCTATATACCTGGTGTGTTTATTTCTTATCAATTTTATAGCTTCACTTCGAATTTAGATTCCCAATTTTCATCACATGTCGTCAGATTAAAAAATAACAAGCGTAATAGTTGTAGAATGTTTATGTACTAGGCATTGTGCAAAGGACTTTATAGAAATGATCTCCAGTCCCCCACAGAATCCCCAATTAGTACATTATTTCCATTTTAAAGAAGAGGAAACAGGCTCATATATTTAGACTAATTTCCCTCCATCCCACACAGCCAAGAAGCATTTGTACCTGGCGGCCCTTGGTCAAAGTCTCCTTTGTAGGTCTGAAGCATCTTTTGTCATCACAGGATTACGTTTCCCTATTTATAAGAAAAATGGGATCAGCAAATCTCATTTTACTTTAACAGATTCAGACGTATTTGAGCCCATTTTCCCCAGAAGATGATTACATATATTACGTTTTAAAATAAGGCATATAGAAGAATCACATTCCTGTGATAGCTCCCTCTTTCCAAACTGCTTCTTGGGCATCTGTGACATAAAGTCACAGAAAAATAATCGCATGTTTCCACCCCTTAGATATCACATGTTTAAGTGGTGCAAACACGATCTCCTCCAGGCAGTGAGGCATGCTTTCCCAGCGAGCTTGCAAGTCAGGGGAGAATCCCTCTGAGCATGCATCTCCAAGGGCCAAGTGGGCCATAGCAGGTGGGAGTGGGAGGAGGCCATGCGTCCTAAACTGCTCAGACTGGCCAAGTGTTCCTGCCTGTGGCAGGAGACTGAAAGGCACAGGGACTGTATGTACCTTAATGTTGCTTAACAGTCCCTGAGGTAGAGAAAAAAGGGTACTGTGGAATAACTCCGTGAGTTGCCTCTGTTCTTGGTGCTCAGAAACATTTACCTCATTGGTTATTGGGAAGAAATGAGGATTGTCCTGGGGAATGGACTCTTCCTGATTTTAACGAGGTTCTGAAGCAGGGGCAGAGACAAGGTGACTCTGCAGGCCTTCTTCCAAAGCCCATTTCCATTGCTCTTCAATAACTGTATCTACCAAATTCTGAATGTTCTCTTTTTTCACCAAATTCTAACTCGGTTAACTTCATACCAAAACCAGTGTATGACAATTGAAATAGCAATTCCTAGAGGCTCTAGTTTTCTGTATTTTCTTCTGGTTACCATTAACCTGGGTGTAGGTAAAGAATATACATCAGGTATATGTATTCTGAATAAAAAGCACTAATTCCTTTTCACCAGTGAAATCACAGAACGTGGTGTTTTCTCGATAGAGGCGGCTCACGTTTGATAACTGTGTTGGTTCAGCTGAGGAAGCAGGGCGGTTCTGCAGCAATGCCTTCTTCCTCCACTGGGAAGGACAAGCTTTCACTTTCCTGGTGGTCTTCATTTCTGCTTGCCCGCTAGTTATAAAGAACACAGGTTGTAGACTTAGTAATTACTTGTTTTCTTCCCTGTTATCTCTTTTTTTTTTGTAAAGGGCAGAGCCAACATAACTTTACCATGTTACCATTTTATTCCCAAATTTATCAGCACAAAATCTAGAACATTTTCATAATACTTCTTTCCCTGGCGAGGGAAGGAACGGTAGCTGAATATAAGCTTGATAAGAACAGTGGTGGGATGTTGAATTTAAATGTGTATGCATGACTCATAGATTTCTATTCATATCTGTGAAAAAGAATAATAAAAGATTAATTAGACTTTTGATTAAAAAACGTATACATGAGTTAATAGCAGCACTGATGATACACCTTGTATCTGTTTGCAGGTCATCAAGGAAGCCATGGTCGAAAGCATTGAGTACAGAAGACAGAATCCGTCTCGTTGCTCTGTTTCCCTTAGTAATGTTGAGGCAAGGAGATTTTTCAACAAGGAGTTTCTAAGTAAACCCAAAGCATAGTTCGTGTGCTGGAAAGGGCAGCAGTTTCTGATGCTGAGGCAGTTTGCAATTCCGTGACAACTGGATTTAATAAAAGTACAGTACAGATAGTTGTACTGCTCATGAGAGACTGGCTGACACTCAGAGTCGCAGTGACTTAGCTGCATGAGAATACTACTATTATAAGGTCGTTAGGTTGACAAACAATGTTGATTATGTAAGGATATACTTAGCTACATTTTCAGTCAGTATGAATTTCCTGATACAAATGTAGGGACATATACTGTCTTTTTAAACATTTCTCACCAACTTGCTTACATGTGTTCTTTTTAAAAATGTTTTTTTCTTTTAAAATATTTAACCGCTCGATATCAGTAAGACTTCCCATTATGTGTGAATGATATTCACTGACTAGACTTATTCATCCCATGAGACAACACTATTTTTATTTATATATGCATATATAGACATATGAAATAAATACATCAATGTACAAATAAGCATGAGATAACTGAGTTTTTCATTATTCTATTTGAGATATGGCACTATTGCTGTGAAAGATTCTCATTTTCACTGCTTTCAAACGCAAAAGGCATTCATCCTAAACTCAAGTGTGAAACTTTTTAAATTTTAAATCATGGGTATTTTCTGAAAAGAGGAATATATCATTTGTTCAGCAAGTGGTACATGTTTATTCATTAAGCAGAAAATAGATACACAACCACGTCTGATGTAACGCCTCACTTTGCTGGTATTATCCTGGACCGCTTATCCAATACCAGTGTACTTGACCTCAGAGAATAACCCAAAAAAAGTGGCAAGGGCTGAATCAAGCTTAGTAAGTGGCTTGCCTTTTGCATCTGCGAGGTTTGTCTTGGGAACACGATGACAGCTCCGTGGTCTCCGCTGCAGCTGGACTGATCTGGTTCAGAATGTTCCAGAGCTAAGATCCTCCCTGTCTTCACTTCCTGCCATTCTTCTTTCCTTGGATTACCTTTCTTTAAGCTCTTTATTCATTTGTCTTTTTATCCTCTCACCTTTCACATTCCTGCCTATGAGGAAAGACAAGAAAACAATAAAGGGAAGCCTTGAACGTTCATTCTGTTGTTCACTGATGTACGCCTGCAACAAGTGAGTGCCCACCACGTGCTGTCAGGCACGTTGCAGGATCTCAGGATCTGGAGGCACCACAGTGGCAAGACCGAACCAAGCGCTGCGTCTGTGAGCGGGCGGAGGCCGCAGCATCCTGAACGGCTCGGGCTGGCCCAGGGTTCCTGCCTGTGGCAGGGGGCTGAAAAGCGCATGGACTGTACCTTAACTTGGCTGAACGGTCCCGAGGATCGCACTCTGGGGGAGACGGCCCAAGATGACATGACAAAGACGTGTGTAGAATGTTAGAGAGTGCTGGGCGCTAAGAAGAGAAGTAATCAGGGGAGGGAGGAGATGGGAAGGGTTAGCGGTGTGTGATTTCATCACGGTAGAGGTGAGGAGCGGAGGGCAAGACCTGTGGCTGTCCAGAGGAGGAGCGCTGCTGGCAGAGGAAGGAGCAGAAGTTCCCCAGGTGGAGCACCAAGCACATTGTGGAAACAGACGGGACCAACGGGCCTAAGGCAGAGCGGGAGGTGTACAATTAATTTTCTCTATTTGTTCAAACATTGGCAATATTGTTTGTATTTGATTTATCCTTCCAAATACCCCTGTAAAGAAACAAGACTAGAGAGGTTAAGAACCATGGCCCAGATGACTAAACTCTGAACCCGATCCCTGTGCCCTGGACCTTATGGCCTGTATGTCACCATCTGTGGTGCCCTCTAGAAATAGACGGACACCTGAGTGACAGTCATTTTAAAGACGAGACCAAATAGGACACTTGCTTTCCCTTTGTTCACACGCTTTTAGTTTCTAGACTACAGTAACAGGCTTTTCATCTAATCCAGCTTTCCCATTTGTTCATTTATGAATTTACTAGAATTCTGATTTTATAAAAACACACATTGGATGGCCAACTAAATCTGTGCATTTTCTTTTTCATTATTTATTTGTTTCAAAGAATGACTGACAAGCGAGATGGCCCCTTAGCCTTCCCCCAAATCAACAATGTGCCCGGTACTTTTGGCTTGGCTCCTTGCCTTTCTCAGGCGAGCACAAGGTTTCCAGCTTGTTCACTGTTCACACCCATGACAGGGCTGCTGCTTTAGCTCATCCACGTACAAGCGGTACCGTTTCAGGTGACTTATTTTGTGTAATCCATGAAAGCAACAAAATACAAGCTCAGTGTGTGTATGTAACTAATTTCCTTTCTTCTGAAGTGTAAAATTTTAAACTTTTCATAAATACTTTTGTTCTAACACGGAAAGCACTTTATGAAAGTTTCAACTGTAGCTCCTCTTTCTTGTTTCCCTTTCTCTTTAACTCCTTAAACAATTTAATCCCAAAGCCATGGGAATCGACGGGATCGAAGTTGGACATTAAAACCTGAGTCAGGAGGGCGTCCACACAGAGCACGGGGACGCATTGACAGTGCAGCGTGCTTACACATGGAGGCGGGGACCAGTGAGGTCATTCAACATACTTAATATAATAAATACAATGGGTGCCAGTTTCTCACTGGAATGGAGTTACAAATATGAAAATGAAGAATAACAGGTTTGCGTGGTGTTAGGCTGAAGCAGGAGGTATTAATATGAATTCACAGGTGTTAATATAAATAGAGATACAGAGAATAAACAGACATGCCAGTGGGCGTGTGTACAGATTCTGCAGGTCTGTCATTCAGAGGATCTGGGAGCAGTGACACTCCGCATAGTAATGAGTGTACTTGGTACATAGAACGCGGCTTTGAAATCCCATTATGTAACCACAGAAACCTAGGATCTTCACAGAAGTGGCTGATTCTAGGTCTGGGGCAGAACAAGTATAAAATGACGGTAGACCATTTTATTTTGCCACAGAGCAGAAGTGAAGTGTTTGCCAAAGAGCAGAATTGTTCAAAGAATGATAAGGGCATGTCAAAAAGACACGTAAGGCAGCTTGAAGGGACACCTGCTGGCTTTTTCTTGGAAATTAAGCATTCACATAAATAATGTTAATAACAGATTATGATCCATTGAATAATATATGAAACAATGACCCCATATTTATGTAAATAGATTAATAAGGAACCAGATGTTTACATAATCTCAATTACAAAGGGAAAAAAAAGTAACTTTCTAGTAAAGAAACCTGGCAGACTAATCAAAATCGATGTTCTCACAAGCGAGGCAGACCGAAATTGCCCCACCTGGTAGAATGCAGCGAGAATGTAGCATCGCGTCCATGCTAACCTGCCATAAGTGCAGCAGCTGAATCTAATCAGGAAGAAGTGCCAGGAAAACCCAAATCGGGAGAAATGTCAAGTATAGTCATCTGTCATCTTCAAAATTATAATGATCAGGCAAGTCAAGGAAGGACAGAAGAACTGCTCCAGCCTGAAGAAGACCAAGGATACACAACAACTGAAGGCGACGTGTTGTTCTGACCTGAATTCCTCCATTCATGTTTCACCAAGTGTTCCACCGACAGATCAAAGATGCCAGCAGAACAGCGGGTGCGATACGAACTGTCTCTGAAGAGCTGGTCACAGTAATGTATCAATGCTAATATCCCGATTCTGATGCTGATATTGTGGATATGTAGCAGAGGATACTAATCTGTAGTAAGCACACATTAAACTATTCAGGGTGATGGAACTTCACGCTGCTAACTTACTCCTAAATAGCTCAGAGAAGAAAAACATCTCTCCTATCATACTTGCATCTCTTCTGTAAGCTCCACAGTGTTTCATATTATTAAACATTATTTAAAATTTGCAAGAGAATTTCAGTTGGAGGATTCTCTAAACAAATTAAAGGAGGTTATGTCAATGGCTCCCATTTCATATCCATATTCTTTTAACACTCTTTTCTATAGCTGATCAATACAAATCCTACCCTTTCTACACTAAATAAAATCAAATAAAGCTAAAAATTCCATAGAACTGCTTTCACCAAATAGTTTAAGGGATAGAGTTTTGTGATACGCTAGTGGTTTTTATATTTCTTCTATTACTGTAATAGCAAATTAAAAATTCAGCTAATGCCACCTTTTGCTGCATAAACATAAGAGCAAAACCAGCACTAGCCAATAATAAAAAATGTGGTGAACAGAAAAGTTGCTTTTTGGCTGGGCACAGTGGCTCATGCCTGTAATCCCAGCACTTTGGGAGGCTGAGGCAGGTGAACCACGAGGTCAAGAGATCGAAACCATTCTGGCCAACATGGTAAAACCCCATCTCTACTAAAAATAAAAAAATTATTATCTGGGCGTGGTAGCACATGCCTGTAATCCCAACTACTCAGGAGGCTGAGGCAGGAGATTCACTTGAACCCAGGAGGAGGAGATTGCAGTGAACTGAGATTGCACCACTACACTCCAGCCTGGGCAACAGAGAGACTACCTCTCTAAACAAAAAGTTGCCTTTTTGGTTGAATTCTCTAAACAATACACATCAGTCAGCATCTAGCGTGTCTTATATGTGTAAGGTGCCACACTTAATTCCGGAAAGAAACCGCTGCTGTTCTGTCCAGATCCCCTTTCCTGGTTAGACACCCAACTCCGAGCGCTGAATATTGGCTGCTAAAAGTCTACAGCGGCATCCTTATTCTGAGAATTGTTCTCAGCTGATGAGACATGCTTGGTTGGTTTTGAGCTCCTAAGGAAGCCTGCAACCAGTGACTAACTGATGAGGGGTTACAAAGAGCTCTGATGCCCGTAATGTGTATTTATTACAAGTCAGGATAATTCTCTGGTGCTTGTCATGCTCAAGAGTTTGTCCTGGGATCAGGCTGAGGTAAGACTTCAACTAACCCATTTCTTTGCCGAGCTGTTCTCCCCGTGTTACCTTTCTTCTCTCAGCAGGTTCATCATGGCACAGTCCTTCAGCGTGTCATGGGAGAACCTGACCTAAGACAGATACCAAAGTGCACGAGACTCGATTCTTGTTTCAAAGGTTTTACAAACTGAGTCATTAAAACTGGGGTAACTATGAGAAGTTTTCATGGAGAAGTGGCTTTTAGGTTGAGTATTAAAAGTTAAGTCGAAATTCAAATAGGATTCAGGAGACCGGTGATTTTTCTGGAGTGAGTTCATTATCTCCTTGCTGTGGATTCTGTACTCTTCAATGTACGTTAACATTACTTTAGGATTTGTTTTGGCATCCATCCACAGACATAGATTATGTTTGAGAACTCTTAAAACCTCAAAGTATTTTGAAAAATAATTTAAAAAATATGCTGCAACAAGCTAAATCTAACCAGATGAAATTTAACAGGATGGAGAACACGGAAATCAAATTCAATGCACCAGTAGTGAAGTGGGAAAGGAGACACAGAATGTTAGAATTTTAAGGTAGGCATTTTCTAGAACATCCAAGAATAAAACGACTCCTACAGGGCTAGAAACAATGTCTTAAAT